ACAGTCACTCCATTTCCATTGCACCCTCACCCAGGCAGCCACTAGTTGTCCAGTGTCTCTACACACTGACATTTTATTATTTATTCATTTATTTACTTATTTATTTATTTTCGTCTTTTTGAAGCAGGTTCTCCCTGTAGCCCCAGCTGTCCTGGAACTCACAGAGATCCGCCTGCCTCTGCCTCCTAAGTGCTGGGACTACAGGTGTGCGCCACCATGCCCGGCTTGTATTTTATTTTATTTTGGTCTTTTTGAGACTGGGTCTCCCTGTAGCCTCAGCTGGCCTGGCACTCATTATGTAGACCAAGCTGGCCTTAATCTCAGAGATCCACCACCTCTGCCTCTGGAGTGCTGGACTAAAAGGCCTGTGCCACCATGCCCAGCCACACTGCCATGTTTTTAATTTTATTACATTTCCTTATTTATTTCTTGTGTTTATAGGAATTTGTGTGCCACAGCACAAGTATGGAGGTCAGAGGACACCCTTCGAGAGTTGACCCTGTTTCCACTCTGTGGGTCCCAGGGATCAAAATCAGGTTGTCAGGCTTAGCGGCAAGCACCTTCATCCTCTGCACCATCTCACTGGCCATTCTTTAATTAAAATTAGTGGCTGGAGAGATGGCTCAGGGGTTAAAGAGCACTGGCTATTCCAGAGGACCCAGGTTTGATTCCTAGCTCTCACATGGTAACTAACAACCATCTGTAAACTCCAGTTCCAGGGGATCTGATGCCCTCTTCTGGCCTCTGAGGGCTTTGCACAACACAAGTGTATTTGCATACATGCAGGTAAAACACTCATATACATAAAAAAATTGGGCTGGAAAGATGGTTCTGTGTTCAGAGCACTGGCTGCTCTTGTAGAGGACCCATGTTTGATTCCCAGCACCCACATGGCAACTAACAACTGTCTGTAACTCCAATTCCTAGGGATCCAGTGCTCTCTTCTGATCTCCACAAGCATTGTCCAACATGGGTGCACTCAGGAAATACACTCATATAGATAAAAATAAGCTGGGTGTGGCAGCACGTGCCTTTAATTCTAGCACTCGGGAGGCAGAGGCAGGCAGCTCTCTGTGAGTTCACAGAGTTCTAGGCCAGCTGGGGCTACCAGGAGACCTTGTCTCAAAAAGACTAAATAAATAAATACTTTTAAATTTTATTGTGTGTGCATGTGGAGGCTAGAGGTAGACATCGGATGTCTTCTTTGATCACTCTTCACCTTAATTTTTATGTGTGATTATGTGTGTGTGTGTGTGTGTGCGCGTGTATGCGTGATATGTTCACAGTTCAGGTGTGGGGGTCAGAGGACAACTTTTCTGAGTTCTCTCTTCCCACCTTTACATGGGTTCTGAGGATTGAACTCAGGATGTCAGGCTTAGAAGCAAATCCCTTTACCCCCTAAGCCATATCACTGGCCCTCTGTCATCTTTTTTTTTTTTTTTTTTTTTTTTTCAGGGTCTCCCTGTAGCCCCAGCTGTCCTCAAACTCACTGTATAGACCAGGCTGGCCTTGAACTCTGGCCTCTGCCTCCTGAGTGCTGGGATTAAAGGCATGCACCACCATGCCCGGCCTATCTTTTTTTTTTTTTTTTTTTTTTTTTTTTAAACAAAGTCACTCACTATATAAGCTGGTTGGCCTGGAACTGACTATTTAGACCAGGCTGGCCTCAATCTCAGAGCTCTGCATGCTTCTGCCTCCTGAGTGCTGGGATTAAAGGCATGCACCATCACATTGGGCCTAATAAAAAAACTTTTGGTTATTATTTATTTTTGTTTTACGTGTATGTTAAGTTTTGCTTGCATGTGTGTAAGTGCATACCACAGCATAGGTTGTGGAGGGCAGAGGACAACCTGGACAATTCTTCTATCGTGTGGGTCCTAGGAATTGGACTCAGCTTGCCAAGCTCGGCTACAAGCATCTTTATCTTAGTACTCCGTGCCTGGCCATTTTAGTTCTTTTTCATTTTCAGTTTTAAAAGATTTATCTATAATGATTTGGAGAAATGTCTCACTGGTTAAGAGCACTAGCTGCTTTTGCAGAGGACACGGTTTGATTCCCAGCACCCACATGGCAGCTAACAATTGTCTGTAACTCCAGTTTCAGGGGATGTGATGCCCTTTTCTGACTTCCACAAGCATTGCATGATACGGGTGCACTTACAAGCATGCAGGTATTACACTCATGCACATAAAATAAAATAATAAAAACAGGCCAGATGTGGTGGCTCAGGCCTTTAATCCCAGCACTCAGGAGGCAGAGGCAGGAGGCTCTCTGTGAGTTCAAGGCCAGCCTGGACTACATAGTTCCAGGCCATCTGGGGCTACAGGGAGACCCTGTCTCAAAGAAAAGGAAAATAAATAATAAAAATATTTTTTAAAGCCAGGCGTGGTGGTGCACGCCTTTAATCCCAGCACTCGGGAGGCAGGGGCAGGTGGATCTCTGTGAGTTCAAGGCCAGCCTGGTCTACATAGTGAGTTCAGGACAGCTGGGGCTACAGGGAGACCCTGTCTCAAAAAGACCCCAAAAAAAAAAAAAAAAAAAAGTGTGTGTGTGTGTGTGTGTGTGAGGTGAGCATACCAGAATACTCATGGAGGTCAGAGGACAACTTCCAAGAGCTGGTTCTGTCCTTCTATCCTGTGGCATATGGCCCTGGGGATTGAACTCAGGCTGGTAGGCTTTGACCACCGAGCCATCCTGTACTTACTTCCCTCTTCCTTTTTTTTATTTTTGGTTTTTTAAGAGTTTTCCTGCAGTCCCAGCTGGTCTGGAACTCACAATGTAAACTAGGCGTGCCTGGAACTCACAATGTAAACTAGGCGTGCCTGGAACTCACAATGTAAACTAGGCGTGCCTTGAACTCAGAGATCCATCTGCCTCTGCCTCCAGGGTGTTGGAATTAAAGGCCTGTGCCGTCACACCTGGCTTCCTTCCTTTTTAAAAAATATTGTAGAGATGACTGAGCAGTTGAGAGCACCTGCTGTTCTTGCAGAGAACCCAGGTTTGATTCCCAGCACCCACATGGCAGCTAACAACCACTAATAACTCCAGTTCCAGGGGATCCGATGCACTCTTCTGACCTCCGTGGCATTGTGCAACATGGGTGTACTTACACACATGCAGGCAATTACACTCATATACCTAAAATAAAAGTAATATATATTTTAAAATAGCTGGTTGTGGTGGTCCATGCCTTTAATCCCAGCAGTTGGGAGGCAGAGGAAGGTGGGTCTCTATGAGTTCCAGGCCAGCTGGGGCTACAGGGAGACCTTGTCTCAAAAAGACATATAAATATATATAATTTAAAAATAAAAACCTTCCTCTAGCATCTCCCATCTTGGCTCCTTTTAAACCAAAGCTACTCCTAAGATACACAGGCTTGTCCTCACAACTTGGAGTGTTGGGACCTGACTCCACAGGTGTCAATTTGCTCAGTATCTCAGAAATATCAGATAGTGAAGTCCCTCCCCACAGCCCTTGGTTTGCTTTCTAAGTTTTCTTCCTATCACCCAGGCCTGTGTCTCAGACAATCAGCAAGACACTGTCTTATCAAAAAGTCTGCATATCTACATGGATGAAGGTGCAGACACATGTCCTAGTGTCATGTAGAATGGGTGTGGTGCCGCACACCTTTGATCCCAACACTTGGGAGGCAGAGGCCAGCCTGGTCTCCATAGTGAATCCAGGACAGCTGTGGCTACAGAGAGGCCCTGTCTCAAAAAGACCAAAAACAAAAAAAAGAATCAGACTCAGGGTGGAGACATATTTTTATAAACCTCTAGCTGACCCACAAAACAAATGAAACTGCAGATGGTCTGACATTGTACCAAGCACGGTATTGCACACCTATAATCCTAAAACTCGGGATGCTAAGGCTAGATGATTGGGAGTTCTATATCAGCCTGGGAAACTTTTTCTCTCTCTCTCTCTCTGTCTCTCTCTCTCCAGGGTATTACTATGTAGCCCTGCTGTTCCAGAGTCCTTGGTTTACAAACAAGTGCCACTATGTCAGTCAGGAATCTGTGGCGACATAAAAGGGTGGGGATATAGCTCAGTGTAGCAAGCACACTTGCCTGGCAAGCAGAAAAGAGTCTAAACCTTTGCTTCTCAAATTGTGTTCCAGAGACCTGCACAGTGTTGACCCTCAGTCAGACTTAACTGCATCAGAATCCTCATTTTTAACACAGGTGTCTCTGAGAAGTGACCATGCTGTGCTCACGTCCCCTAAAGTTCTAGCCTGCATACTTAAGTATAACTTTGGTACAAAGCCTTGGACTCAGTTCCTGCTATAGCAATTGGTAATATCTTTGCTTAAACTTGCTCTTCTGGATGTGAGTGCTGGTACCTTTCTGGATTACTCAAGCCAGAAAGTAGGAGTTATTTCAGAGCCCACTATGTCCCTATTCAATCCATCAAGTCATCCGTGGAGACTACTTCCCAGTCCACCCCTCTTTTTTGCCAGGCCAATCCAGGATCTCTGCCCTGCATATTTAAACACCCTCTTTCCCTTTTGCCCTGCTGGTTAGTTCCTCCCTTGGCAAGATAAAATTTATTTTTTTTCAAGATGGGGTCTCCCTGTAACCCCCAACCAGCCTGGAACTCACTATATAGGCTGGCCTCTATATCACAGAGATTCACCTGTCTTTGCCTCCCAAGTACTGGGGTTGAAGGTGAACGAGAGAAAGTTTTTAACAAAGTAAACTAGGTGGGCTGGAAATATGGCTCATTCTGTAAAACACTGGCCCTGAAAACATAGGCTCTGTCTTAGAACCTCAGAAACCACAACCACATTCAAAAAACAACAAAAACAGGTGTGGATAAAATATTAAAAAACAAAACAAACAAAAAAACAGGTGTGAGGCTAGAGAGCTGGCTCAGCAGTTAAGAGCCCTGGCTTTTCCTGCGAAGACCCAGGTTCAGTTCCCAGCACCCACATGGAGTGGAGAATAACTGTAACTTCAGCTCCAGGGGATTGGAGGCCCTCTTCTGACCTCTGCCAAACTCTTCTGACCTCTACCCAACATACGTGCGCTTATATACGTGCAGGCAAAACATATACATATAATAAAAATAAATAAAATAGGTTTCTTGACCACTAGTCTTAACTCTGCTTGCAATGATCAGGATCTGAAATTACAAAAGCACCAGTTCCATTTCTTTCTGATTTGTTCAATTGTCTGATTGTCTCAGGTAATAAAGGATCTTTCTCTATTTGCTTTGTCTCCACCAGGCGAGACAGTGCCTGGTTTACAGTCAATTGCTTAACACCTGTCAACCGAAAATGAATAAGCACTAAGTGTCTACAAAACATTGCCAAATCAGCTGGGTGTACGCATGGCAGCACTGAGGGCGGTTGCCAAGATTCGGGGTCTCTTGGAGAAACAGGTAGACGCGGGTTCTGATGCCTGCCTCACTGCCGACTTGCTGTGTGACCTCGAGCAAGAGCCTTAACTCTGAGTCAGCTATCCCATCTGTGAAATGGGAGACGGAGTGTAGTGAGGCGCCGAGTCACCAACCCCGCACCCCAAAAGGTCACAGCGCCCTGACTGCGGCTGGGTCGCTCTGAGGGTACCCTCTCGCTCTGCCAGGCGAGGAAAGGGACACCTCGAATCCCAGAGATCCATACTCGCCCTCCCACGCGCGACCCACTTAACTCACACGTCCGCTGCGTACCCAGGCCCACTGCTTCCGACGGCTGGGCGCCGCCATCTTGAACGATAGCGCTTCCGGGTCTGGGCAGTGGAGACAACCAATCGGTGGGTAGACACCGCCACCATCACGGGGCGACACCACCAATAGGAAAAAGGAAAAGCCTCGGTCCTGCCTGCGGAAGAACCAGGCCAGGCCCTCCCCGGGGACCTGGCAGTGTGGCCATCTGGGAGCGCTAGAACCCTGTGGACGTTATGGCTGGATTTGGGGAGCTTCTGAGTCCAACCTAACACCCCAGTTTTCTCGCCTGAAATACCATGGTAAATTATTAATAGTATTATTATTGTTATTGCAGATCTGTATGCCCGCGCTTTCTGCAGGCTCGGAAAGCCTACCATCTGAGCTACATCCCCAAGGCCCAGGATGTTTTGTTCATGTGTGTGTTCCTAAGTGCATGTATGTACACCACGTGTATGCAGACAGTTGTGAGATGCCATATGAATGTTGGGAACTGAATCCCATTCTCTGAAGAACAGCAAGTGCTCTTAACCCCTGAACCGTCTCTCCAGCCCATATTTGTTGTTTTGAGTCAGGATCTTCTGTAGCCCCAACTGGCCTGCAACTCACTATGTAGACCAGGCTGGCCTTGATCTCATAGAGATCCACCTGCCTCTGCCTCCCGACTGCTGGGATAAAGGCATGTGCCACCACGTCATGTTTGTTTTTGTTGTTAGGATTTATTTATTTTTATTTTGTGTGTGTCTTACTTGCATTTTTTTTTATTCCTTCAAGCTTTTATTTAAATGTACTAATTCGATGATAGAGTTTAGATCTTGTTAAAAGCAGCCACATCCATGGATAACGCATAGTCCTCAAACGCAGTAATCTGCTCCTCCAGCATATCTGTTCCAACTTTATCATCTTCAGCTACACATTGTATTTGAAGCTTTTTAATTCCATATCCCACTGGAACCAATTTAGAAGATCCCCACACCAAGCCATCTGCTTGAATGCTTCTGACGAGGGCACACCTCCAGTTTTGCTGTACCTGTCTCATCATCCCAAGGTTTCACATCTAGCAAGATGGAAGACTTTGCTACAACTGCAGGTTTTTTGGCTTTCTTACTGTGCAGGACGTTCTTCTCGGAGCCTCTTCGCTGTCCTCCTCCTCGGATCCAAAGAGGTCAGTGTCATCATCATCTTTGGCATCTGTAGCTTCACTTGCCGTGCTGTCTTCCACAGTGGCACGGTCATACTTGCCCAGAGGTTTTTTCACTCCTGGCAGGCTGGCTTTGTCCTTTTCATATGACTGGATGTGATTATACCAACAAGTCAGCAAGGCGGCCTAGTGACTGCTTCAAATATTGCCACATCTGCTTGTGATGGCACCATACCCCTCGATGTAGCTCTTGTCCGCCAGGTAATCGTTGAGCACCTGGAGGCCGCGGGGGGTTTTCAGGTCTCCAAAACCCATGGCGTGGTTGGATCCCCTGAGCTGGGCGGCAGCGGAGGGAAGGCGCTCAAGGAGGTCAGGCCTAGCACAGAGAGGAAGAAAGGGCCCTCCCCTGCATGTTTTTAAGTGCAGCATGCTCATGCAGTGCCTACAGAGGCCAGAAGAGGGCGCCGGATCCTCTGGAACTGGAGTTACAGATGTTGGTTAAATACCAAGTGGGTGCTGGAAACCTATCCTGGGTCCTCTGCAAGAGCAGCCAGTGCTCTTAACTGCTGAGCCACCTCTCCAGCCCTGAGATTTTCTTTGAGCCGGGTTCTTACTATAATGCCTGGGCTGATCTCGAACTCAGTCCCCAGGGAACTTAAGGTACCACTGCTACCAGCTTTAATAAGACTTTTTAGTTTTATTTATTTATTTATTTGTTTGTTTATTTATTTCTTTATGATATGTATGTAGGCACATTCCTGTGGAGGTCAGAGGACAACTTAGGGGAGTTGGTTCCCTCCTGCTACCAGGGGGTGGGGGGGCCCCAGGGAAAGAACTCAGGTCATCAGGCTTGGCTGCAAATGCCTTTATTTGTTGAGCCATCTCAACACCATCTTTAATAAGATATTTTGAGGTTTGAATTTGTCTATGTAAAGTAGCCATAAAGAAAAAAGAGAAATGAAGAAAATAGTTTGAAGTATTTTCTTACTGTAGAGAAGCACTGTACATTACTAAGAGACCTGAGTATAAGATACTCACATGTGGAGCTGGGAAAATCGCATGTCCAAGCCTGTTTGAGTGGCTTTTTTTTTTTTTTCATTGCAAGGAGTAGGTGGGAGGGAGGTGGGACTAAGGGCACTTTGGGGGGGGTCGTCTCCTTTTAGTCAAAAGCAAGGAAATGACATGAAAGAGTTTAAATTCAATGTTTCCTTTAACAGTGTTAAACACTAAATTTTTTTAGTTTTTTTTTTTTTTTTTTTTTTTTTTTTTTTTTGAGACAGTGTCTCCCTGTAGCCTCCTGGAACTTGCTATGTAGACCAGGCTGGCCTTGAACTCACAGAGATCTGCCTGCCTCTGCCTCCCAAGTGCTGGGGTTAAAGGTGTGTGCCACCATGCCCGGCAATAAAATATATTTTTTTAAAAAAGTACAATATGGGCTACTGTGAGGAGTGAGATGCATTCCTGGCACCTCTCTCCCCTACCCAATTGTGTGTCTCGTTTGACTTTTCCGACTGAGAGCTGAGAGGCCTGTGGACTTGGATGTGTGTAGGTGATATCAGGTCGTAGAACTGCGGTATGTGTGTATGTGTCCTCATGATGTCTTGGCAATAGAGTTTGTGTGGGGGGGATTATAATGCATTTTTTCATTTATTTTGTTTTTGTGTGTGTGTATGTGTATGTGTGTGTGTGTGTATGTGCATGTGGAGGTCAGAGGACAACTGATAACAGTCTGCCCCCACCCTCCATCATGTGGGTCGCAGGGCTCCAAGTCAGATTATCAGGGTTTACCCACTGAGCCATCTCGCCATACCCATAATTAATTAATTTCAGGACAAGATCTCATGAATTCCAGACTAGTTTTGAACTTGTATGTAGCTGAATTTGACTTTGAGTTCCTGAATCTCTTGCCTAAACCTTTCATACTGGGATTACAGGCTTGAGCCACCAAATGTGGTTTATGTGGTGATAGAACCCAGGGCCACTTGTAGGCAAGCATTCTACTAACTGAGAGAACTCGATATGTAGACCAGGCTGGCCTGGAACTCTCAGAAATCTGCATGCCTCTGCCTCCATTTATATTTTCTGTGTATGAGTGTTTTACCTGCATGTAAGTGTATACCAAGTGTGCAGTGCCCATGGAGGCCAGAAAAGGGTATCAGATCCCCCGGAATTGGAGTTATGGATGGTTCTTAGCTGTCATATGGGTAATGGAAACCAAACCCGGGTCCTCTGCAAAAGCAGCCAGTGCTCTAGACCCCTGAGCCATCTCTCTAGTCCCAAGTTTTCTTTTTCTTAAAAAAATATTTTATTATTTTCATTTTATGTATATTAGTGTTAATCCTGCACGTAAGTGCACCCATGTAGTGCAATGCCTGAGGAGGACAGAAGAGGCTGTTGGATCCTCTGAAACTGGGCTTATGGA